TATGATCTATTCTAAGAAAACAACCTTAGCAATATCATCATTGCATCATTTATAACATAAATCCTCAGTTAGGGGTGTGGAATTTGGGACTAAATGCCTGACATCTCTGCCTCTGACGCTTTGATTTCTTGACTGTCTTTTTTCAATCTGTTTCTCACTAGCCAAAAAAAAGTTAGACATCCATTAGCAAGTTGCTGAACCTCTCCCAGCTTCAGGATCTCCGATCTTTTGCTGAATCTGACCTCTAACCTCCTTTAATACAGCTGAAGTGCATTTGACCCCTCAATCTCAGAGGAGAATTTCTTTGAGCTTTTATATTAGTTTTACATGACAAAACATTGAACTGTTTGAACATGGAGGTTTATAATGCTCATTGGAAATAGTTGTGATACTACATAAGCAATGACATGTAATATAATTCAATGGGCAGCACTCAATGTAGCAGCAGCAATATGACAATATTACTCAAATGGTTCAATATCATGAGCAAAACGTATTGGTGTGATTTTGATTTAGCTCAGCTTGTTGCCTCTGATCAGGATCCAGCTCTTTACCTCCACTCTAGATATGTTTGAGGACTTGGGTCAGTGTCAAAGATCAGCTACTTACCCAATCAGGTAACTAGCTCCAGAAGGAAAATTACCTTCTTCCGACCACTTGCACTCACCTGCAGTGACCCGGAGCAATCAGAGGTGAACAGGGCTCCTAATCACGGAGACCCCTTTAGGTCAGTACAGGCACACCCCACACTCGGCACCACCCAGCCTCCTGCAAAACCACCTCCCCCAGACAAGGCCAACTCTGAGTTCAAGTGTTTCAACTGTCACATCAAATAGGCTCAAACGTTGAGATTTCTTGCGCAAGACGCATTGTTTGTTTAGTTTGATGCTAAGTGCAATATCCTGCCACTCTGTTGATCCGAGCAGAGCTTGGTAGTCAGGCCGTGTCAAGTAGAGGTGGCCTGCGTCAGGCACGCTCGCACTCTGATCCACCGGGGGAAGTGTGGAAGGTGGAACAGGAAACAGAGCACTGGAAAGGATCTATAACCTAGAGCACAACCAGGTTTCCCCCACTGTTTATTTTGATAGAAATGACCCTGGTCATGCAGCAGGAGTACACGTGATAAAGCAGAGACTGCACATTGTGGCACATTATGCATTTTTATGGTAGCTTCTGGTCAAGTGAAACGTGATGGATGCTCAGCTACAAATGTGTGTTTCATCATGTACCCTTAACTTTTGAGGGCGCTTGAATCCATGAGCACTTAAGATGTGTGTGTGTGCAGAGTGACTACATTACAGTGAGGGGACTCTTTTCCTATGGGGAACTGTGCCAAATCTCTGACAGAAGATGAATGTCTCGCTCTATGCTCTCAGATTATTTGCCGAGAGTAGTTTAAAAAGGTCTGAGGACTGAGTACAATATGCAGTCTCAGGGACCAATAATAATTTACAATATAAGAGGGAATTCAAGTGAAATAACAGCAAAACAGACTCTTATCAGTGGTGGGATGTGACTTACATTTACTATTCGAATATTCGTTTTATGTTTTCATTCTTGTGCTTCATTACATTTTGGAGTACATTTTGTTCTCCTTCCATGTCATTTATTTTGACAGGTTTGTTACTTGCTAATTTACTGAATCAGATTATTAATGCAAAATACAATCAATGTATGAAGTATTTGTATGGATATGTTGATAGGAGCTGCACCTTTACTACTGTAGCTGCATCTATAACAATAGGGACATTAGAGGGTGGAGTAATTGTGAGGAAACCAAAAATGTAACAATAGACTTCATGAATGAAAATGTGAAAGTGTTAAAACTGTAAAATGAAAAAAACACTTAAACTAGACAACACTGTGGTAGCAACCTGTCATCATCTGGAACATGTTTACTAACGTAATCAATAAAGTCAGAAGTAAAATCATTTTCTCAAATGGGGCCTTATTTTTGCTTTTATGGGTTTTCCATTTCCTGTAGTGTATTAAACAGGTTGTTGTGCAAGTAAATGATATGCAAAGGCTAAAATCCCAAAGTTCCCTCCAGAGAGAGTTTCCCTCCCTAAGGGCTGGTTGGCTCTTAGCAGTTGACCAATCACAACAGAGGCGGCCAGCTAACCAATCAGAGCAGGCTGGGCTCTGGGTGAAAAGAGGTGCTGCAGCACAGGCAGTATGAGAAAAATAAAGAGCTTTTTAAACATTAAAGCATGGAGACATGTCACAGTAGACTAGAGGCACAACATACAATTATAAAACCTTAAAGTGAACATAATACGGCCCCTTTAAAATGTGACTTATTTTTCAGAACAACTCAAGTCGCCCTCTGCTGACCATTAGAGAGAATGCAGGTTTAAGGCATTTCTTCATTGGCTTCACATTTCAGACCCGGAGGTTGCAGATTAGATCATCATCATGATAATATGCTGGCATGTAAGAATGTTATGCCGGATAGCTCAAACAATGAATTAAATGTTACTAAAAAAGCTCCATAAACAGGTAGACTGCAGGCTCAGATGATTATTCTCTGTTGATTTGTCACCTTTCACTTTACAAAATGTCATGTAATACATTGTTTATGAAGAAAATATCCACTAGAGCAGCTTTAAGTACAGCTGAGTTAATGTTACTTTCCCTGGCTTCTTACAAGTGGACCACCAGCGGACTCCAGAGGAGGTCTAGTCCTTTACAATCAGCTTCTTCTCAAGGTTTAACAAATGATACCTGGCTGGCTGTTAGGGTTAGGGACCCACCACTGTGTGGTTTTGACGGAAACTTGATCTGAGATAACACATGATGCCCTTGCCTGTACGCCTATCGCCTCTCCGTCAGTTTGCTCGGCTTGTTCAACAACTGGACAGGAAGTCTGCTAATCTGTAACCAGAGCCGGGGGGAAGGAAGAAGTCAGGAACCAGCCTTCAGTGCTTTCACCAATCGTATTCATCACCAAAGCCGGGCCGAGGCTGGTTTAGAGCGGGAGCACGGCTTAACTAAACATCTTCTCCATAAAATAAATGCTTCCAGGTTACTCCCAGTCCAGGTTCCACACAGAGGAGCATCTGATCTCAATTAGCAGGAGTGCTATAGGAAGCAGTGAGGCTCGGCCTGCAGCCTGAGCCAACAGCACCATGGCAACCAGCAGCACGTCGACGAGCCCCGCGCAGATAGAGGCCTTTTCAGGCCCTAGTAAGGCGGGAAATGATGATTCGATAATTAGTTCCTGATGCCTCCTATTCTTTTTCATATCAATCATGTCTAGGAAACAGAATGCAATTCAAATACAGTTTGAAGCTGGAGAGATTGGTTGGTATACTAAACGTCTATTGAAGAGTGATGTATGCCCTGTGTACACTAGGTTTTCCAGTGTAAAACTTCGAGACTAAACACTAGAAAACCGCACTGAAAAGACAAAAAACACTCTCAGAATTGATGGTCCTGCTGGAATATTTTTATAAACGCAGACTTAAATTGTCACAATTGTGACGCGAATCAGAGTGCGAGCGTGCCTGACGCAGGCCACCTCTTGACACAGCCTGACAAGGGACAAGCACATTAAAAAACACGCGTGTTAAAAGGACACTTTTACATGCTTGTCCCTTCACCAAATGTTAACAAGACTATTAACAAAACTGTAAATCAAATAAGATGTACGATTCTAACAGGAAGATAACAAATAATTAAGGATTAAGGAAAGATACATACAGAGAAATGTATAATACATTTCAATATTTCAATGTTACATTTGTCTACACTTTTAATTAGTGCAAGCAGTGAAGACAGGTTGTGGAAAATAAAACTGTTTGCGTTTAGGCAAGATGGATCATCTGCTGATGTTTAATCTGATGTTATATTTCTTACATGAACTTTTTGGAATAGCATCTTTTATTTTTCAACATGTACTGTAATAGAAACAATTACTTCAGTAACTATGTCTTTAGACAGAGCTGAGTTGAGGTCTGCAACGTTTAAAATATTATATTATCAAGATTTGATCTCCACATGGACAAGCTATTCTTAAAATTGTTACAGTATGCAGGAAATTACACCAACAGACAAACATCTCACATAGGTTTGGCTCAGATAATGTCTTCAAGGGAAGGTATCAAAGATCAAAACCTGGCAACTCAACTGCACTGTTTGGTTCCTTTTTGTTTCTGTTTTTTCCCATATTCTGCTTACTCCTGCAGGGGAGCTTCCCTGCTTCTATAAGAATAACTAAGAAAGATAATCTGCGAGTAAACAGAAGTGGTGGTAATGTAATCAAATGTCACAGTCATTTCACAGTTTACATACTCTGTTAAAAGCAAAAGTTCTCTTTTCAAAATGTTTAAGTACTAAAACTAGTGAAAAAAGGGTACTCTACCCAAACAATAAGTTAAAACTCCACACTAGAGGAAGACTGTCATTTTCAAAACCTCCACAACAGCTTCTAAATTGACCTCTTGGTGAAGATTACAGCTTTCATCAAAACATATTATCATGGATTATTACATCAATAGTAGATCCACGCATTTGGAGAAAAGCTCAACAGATTATTATCTTATCTGAATATTCAACATGGACATGTATGAGGGTCAATTTTATAAACCATAGTTAATCTTTTATGAATTAAATGTCATATTGAAGGGGTTTCATCTAACAAGTAAAGCCTTGGGTGACTTATGTATTTGCCAGCAGGTGGAGATAAAGCACTTCCTAAAGCATCCTGTCATGTTTCACCCTTAGGATGTTATTGACACATTAAACCAAACATTTTCATCATTTAAAGGCAGACCTTTTTAGAACCCAGAAGGTTAAAAATACAATCCTGAGAACAATTGCCTAGCAGTTATTGTTCAAAAGGAACAAATCCAAATTATTTGGAGCAAGTTACAGTAGACTTTCTTACAAATATAATGCAGACTAAAAGAGGAAGTAGAGGAAAGTAGAGTAAAGTAGAGGAAACTGTGTTACCGCCCATTCTCTATGGTTGATGTTATAAAGCCATCTCTACATAAAAGCCCATGTAGAGGCCTATGGGCTTTTAGGTAGAGAGAAGCACACCCATCTCTTAAATGACTTTCTAGGAACACTAGAACGATCCACACGTGGGAATCATGAAAGGTGAGTCCTTCAAATTATGAAACACCTGCTGGATGTTATATGATGTTTTCACACCAAGATAATATACGTTATTATTTTTATAGAGTTTTGTATCTTCTTGATCTGCTTCATCAACCTGTTGCTGCTGGAGAGCTCATCGTGTGCTGGTGACTCAAGTGTTGGTAAGCAGTTCATCTTTATTAATCTTATTTTCTTATAAAACTTGAAGTACGAAACTGATATATTTCATCCCATGTCACGTTACGATTCAGTCTCTGAAAGTGCTGTTGCGCGTATGCTATAAACATGTTTCAGTTTCAAAAAAGTTGCATATTTTTGTAAAATTACAATTTCTTAAGGCCTTAAGTGTGACCTTTACTTTACCAATGTACCATTGTTGATCCTTTGGTACAGTGTTACTTAAGACTAATGCTGTAAATAATAAAAGGTAAATAGTAAATACAAATATATGTGTTATTAGTACCACTCTTATCTCTCGTCTTATTCACAGTTAAATAAGGGAGAAAGCTGCCGTGGTCAATTATCTCATTGAACTTCTGCAAGTATGAAGAGAGGACAGGAAGCCTGCAGAGAGTGTTAAAGATACGGGGGGGACGGGAAATGAAGTGCTAATTTAGTAAACTAGTTTCAGTGAAGACAAAGCAATATGCACCACTTTTGAACCTTCATTTATCCTGGTTTCACAGGTCTCATCATTAGACCACCACTTTGTAGTTTTATGGGGAAGCATAAAAAAGTATATTTTGTGTAAGATTCAATAGCATAACACACAATGTTTAACACACAGTAACATGAATTAGTTTAACATTTTCAGGTTGTCTGTGTCCGACTCTCATTTCCATATTGTTCAGAATCAATACATTATCTGAACTATCAGTCATTTAGTAAAGCAGGGCCTACACTGAGGGATCTATTCATTCTCAAAGTGTAATATGATTTCTTTCTTCGGTTTCAGTGAATCCCTGTTGTTCCTACCCCTGTCAGAACTCAGGAGTGTGTGTGAGATTTGGTACAGAATGCTACGAATGTGACTGCACTCGAACTGGCTTTTATGGAGTCAACTGCACTGTTCGTGAGTACTGCTACGTTTTTTATGTGAGACATAAATCTGCATGTCAACATCTGGGTGTGGGTTTATTTGAAAACAGTGGATATCTGTTCAACCTCTCATGTACCCCTTTTACCTCCATTGCTACTTTAATGTACACACTTATCCCCAATCTATCTATTTGTATGCTTGTGGTAATGTGCATTTAGAAACTTTAATACAAAAAAAAACATAACGGAAGTGCTCAATAGCGAGTAGCTAAAGGAATATTCGTTTTGCACTTACGGTATGTGTTTATTTTGGTTTTCATTCCTACGTTCAGAAATTCATTAAGCCTTAAAGGTGTCCTATCATGCAAAATGCACTTTTTTATATCTTTTATACATAAATATGTGTCCCTGCCGTGTCAGGGAACTCACAAAGTGTCAGAAAATAAAACCCTCTCTCTTTTCCTCCGTACCCACATCTCTAAAAATGGGGGTACAAAGGAGCTGATCCAGATTTGTGTCTGAGATGACGTAATATGCGAAATGTGGGCTGGCTTTACACCCACGGCCCTATCAGAAACGTCGCTATCAGAAACAATGCGAGACGTGTCTTGGACATAATATGGTCTTTGTTTACATTAGCAAGCATCACTAACACTCAGAGCTACTTTTTCAGCTCAGAGTACGCTAGAACCTGTTCTGGAGAGAGTATGTGTAAAAAATCAGAATATAAAAAGGTACTCACCTTGTAGTAAACCTGCAAGAGGAAAAGCATTTGAGCTCCATACTGTTTCAGAAATAATGCTTGATGTGGTTTGGAACATGATATGGCATTTAATCACAGCAGCATTTACTCATTTGTAAAGCATTAATACATTATTAATTAGGATTTGTCTCAATCCCTTACACAGGATGCTTAATTTGAATTGCTATAAAAATAACTTTTTCTTGATCTTTGTGTTTAGCGGAGCTCTGGACCAGAGTTCGTCTCATGCTGAAGCCGAAGCCTACGGCGGTTCACTACTTCCTCACGCACTTCCACTGGTTCTGGGACCTCGTAAACAACTCTTTCCTGCGAGACACATTCATGAGATTAGTGCTAACCGGTAGGTGAAAAGTCTCATGGTAAAGATAAAGTGCCACAGTAGGTACATCAACAAACCTCACTTGCAGCTAACATTCCTCAGCATTTTATTTAGTTATACTTCGCTAATTATATGATGTAAACTTCACATTGTCCCATTCTCCCAAAGTCAGAAGCGACCTTATTCCAAGCCCTCCGACCTACAATACTAAATATGGATACCTCAGCTGGGAGTCTTACTCCAACATGTCCTACTACACCCGTCTCCTCCCTCCTGTTCCTGAGGACTGCCCTTTGCCCATGGGAGCTAAAGGTGAGACCTGCAAAACTACACATAGCCGGCTGAGCTCTGAGAACAACTTTAAACAATTCTTTCACTACAGGTAAACCTCAGCTTCCTGATCCGAAAGTGTTGGCCGAGAGGTTTTTTAAGAGAAAGACATTCAGGCCAGACCCTCAGGGAACCAACATGATGTTTGCCTTTATGGCGCAACACTTCACTCACCAGTTCTTCAAGACAAACCAGGAAGTTCAAGGTGGCTTCACCAAGGCTTTAGGACATGGGGTGAGATTAAACTGACATTCTGTGCTAATCACTATATGACCCTTTCATTATTTTTTGATTTTGAATGTGTTTGACTTTTTAATTTATTAAGAGATGTATGTATTTCCATATTCCCAGGTAGATGCGAGCAATATCTACGGAGACAGCCTCATACGACAGCTTCACCTACGGCTTCATAAAGATGGAAAGATGAAATATCAGGTATTAAATACATTTATGACATTTTGGGAGAGCAGAGTGAGAGGATTAATACTACTCAAATGTGGGGTAATAATCTGCTCATCTAACTCACGAGTCACGACAAGGCAAACAACGTTGTTTTCCAAAATGTATTTTTGTTGTCATATCATTTAAAGGTGGGGTATGTCATTTTGGAGAAACCAGCTCGAGTGCACTAGAATTTGAAAATACACACACACACAAACGCGCACATGACCAATGAGGTCACGAGATAAGTTAGTGCACAGATGGAAGGCTGACAGGCAGGTAGGCCATCCAATCATTTTAGCCCGGCTAAAATGATTGGTCGTGCTTTTTAGAGTCCTACGGCTTCCACAGATGACATTTTAAAATGTATTTATTGTCAAAGCATTTAATATATTCATTGCTATCTGGATGTTAAGAGCATTCCATGGAATATAACAAAAAGTGTTTCTGAAATAAATTACATACCCCACCTTTAAGGAAGTCTATCTAAAGATCAGCCGTTAATAACTTTAACTTCCTGTATCATGATAACTGAGAATTGTGTAGTACATTTCCAGATACTATAGTAGTGATAATCATAAAGTGGTTAAAGAGAGAGAACACTCAAAGGCACATCACACTTTTATCTTGTGATCGAAAGCTTATCTGCTTGAGGCTTGAGTTAGTTTGTTGGGTAATACTTTTACCACCAGCAGCTATGCTCAAGTCTATAATGACATGCACAAAAACGTTTGGCAAGAATTACATTATTTTATTAAGAAAAATGCAAGACAAGAACGTTTAAATAACACAGAATCAAGGCTTCTCTCTCATATGTGGATTACTTGTTGTGTTTGTTACAGTTAGTAAACGGTGAGATGTACCCCCCAACAGTATCAGAGGTCCCTGTGCACATGGTTTACCCTGAACACTTCCCTCCAGAGAAGCGTCTGGTCACCGGTCAGGAGGTGTTTGGCCTCCTGCCGGGCCTCACCATGTATGCCACCGTATGGCTGAGGGAGCACAACAGAGTCTGTGACGTCCTGAAGGCGGATCACCCCACCTGGGACGATGAGCAGCTCTTTCAGACCGCCAGACTCATCATCATTGGTGAGCGTGTCAGGAGCAAACTCTTACAGTTTAAGTCTCAAACTGGAGTCAGCACCCACACACTCTCTCTCTCTGTGACTTAGTGATTGTAATACATATGAAATTATTCATATAAATTCATTTTGATCGTTTTTTGCCATTATATTGCGCAATCAACATTTACTTCATAATAATAAGTACAAAAATGTTCTCGAATAAGCTTCTCGTAACATAATAACACAATGAAAAGGCCTATATCAAAAGTTATTACTATTACAATAATTCAAGACCAAAAGGCAGCAAAAAAAACGTATGCAAACCTGGAACTACCAACATTTTTTGGTGGCAAAATGAGTGACATGATTCCCAAATTAGTGGTTGCCCCATACATTTCAGTCAATAGGCTAATCTATTCGTTGGCAAATTGTTAATTGTTTGAACAGTACAAGTTAAAATGTCCATCTTTATGCTTCTTAAAATGAGTTTGCCTCAGTGTATCAATCAATGATATTTGAGTGTTTTGTATCCCACAGGAGAGACAATCAACATCATAATAGAAGAGTACGTGCAGCACCTGAGTGGCTACCTGTTGGACCTGAAGTTCGATCCCACTCTGCTCTTCAACGCACGTTTCCAGTACAGCAACCGCATCGCTCTGGAGTTCTGCCACATCTACCACTGGCACCCGCTGATGCCTGACAGCTTCCTCATCGACGGCGATGACATCCCATACCCTCAGTTTATGTTCAACACATCCCTACTCATGCACTACGGGGTGGAGAAGATGGTGGATGCCTTCTCCAAACAACCTGCAGGCCAGGTAGATAAGCACAATCCACTGACTGTTAACAGGAATCATCTTCCATCTGCATAACACTTTTTAGATGTGAAGTTGGTTCCCTTTCTTTCTTAAGTCATCCACATCAAAGTTAACTTCCCCTTACAAATGCTTCCTAAATCTAAATGAGGCAACCTTCTCAGATATCGTTCATCAGCATCATGTGCACGCAACACTTTATTTCTGTTTAATGAGATGAATAGGTGTTAGATGTTGTAGCCTGCCAAGCTGAGCAACACATTAGTATTGTGTTCTGACTTATGGTATTACTAACAACTCATAATGAAAGTAACTTTTTGTCTGCGTTTCAGATAGGAGGAGGTCACAACTCGCATGTAGTTGTGCTTCAAGTGACAGAAAAGGTCATCAAAGAGTCACGAGCAACACGAGTGCAGCCCTTTAATGAATACAGGAAGAGGTTTAACCTAAAGCCGTACACCTCTTTTTATGAATTTACTGGTAAGCAGAAATATTGTTCAAAGTACAACCTTCTTCTGAAACTTTTTGATCCACCGCTCTGCCCCCTTTATTTCAATTGTTGCAATCTCTTTTATGTTTATGGGGTAAACTTTTGTCTTCATTTGTTATATTTTTTCCCCAACATAAAATTAATTCAGGAGAAACGTGAAAAACAATATTATCACTCAGTATTTCTTTACCCTGTAGCAACTCTTGCCAATTCTGTAAGCAAAATAAGATGACTAAAACTCACTTTTTGTTATCACATAAAGTTACATAATACACTCAACAATTTGGTTGTTGCAAAAACCTGAATAACAGAGCTGCTTCTCATATTTTGTTCTCATTTTGGTACATTTTTTCATCCATTTTCTGTCGACATCACACTGAGAGCAGACAAAACCTTTCGCCCTTTTCATAAATGTCTCTTTTCTCAGCCACTTCCCCCAAATTGCAAGTTGTTTTAAGGGGAAACTGGGGCTGAAGTGGTTTGCTGTCAAATGTAGCAACTGATGTTATCTCAAATACACGCAATACTGCTTTGTCACAGCGTTTTTTTAGCTAAATGCTAACATCTTCATGCTTACTTGCTCACGACATAGGTTAACATGTTGATTGTTAGCATGTTTGCCACTGTTTGGCTGGTTAGCATGCCAAAAGTTCATAATTAGCGCTAAACGGTATAGAAAATGTAGCAGAGTATTGCGGTAATGTCAGTCATTTTGCAGATATTCGAATATTAGCTAAACTAAAGTATTGACTGATAGGGCTGGTTTAACAGCTGTTTTATTTTTCCAAACAGATGACATTGAAATGGCCGAAGGTTTAGAGGAGCTCTATGGTGACATTGATGCTCTGGAGCTCTACCCCGGTGTCCTGCTTGAGAAAGCACGACCTAACAGTCTATTTGGGGAGAGCATGGTGGAGATGGGGGCTCCCTTCTCCCTGAAAGGCCTGCTTGGAAACCCCATATGCTCCCCTGAGTACTGGAAGCCCAGCAGCTTTGGGGGAGAGAAGGGCTTCAATATCGTCAAAACTTCCACCTTGAAGAAACTGGTGTGCCTAAACACCAAATGGTGTCCATACGTGGACTTCCATGTTCCAAGAAATGACGAGGAGCTGAAATCAAGGAAATCAAATTCTGAACTTTAATCAATTCATCTCAATCAGTTTATTACTATGCTGACTGTAGGGGACATTCTTTAGCTGCCAATGTGTTGCAAATTGTTCTCTTTAGGGATATTTTAATTCTACATGACATTTAGTGGTTTCAATCCTGCCTGCAGAGAGAGAGACATACTCTGAATCCAAGCAGGTCTACCTCCTGAAAACACAGGTGACAAATTCCATAGTTTCTGGAGCAGGAAAAAATATTTGCACTATCTTGAAAATGTTTTTTATTTGGTAATGGTAATTTTTTTTTGTGTATTTTCTATTTTCTTTCAGTGAGGGTATAACATCACCATATCTTCTTGAAAAATGTAATGTAACTAAAATAGTCATAGTAAAACATTTCTACAAAATATGATAAATATTCTGCAGACATTCTTGTTGCATGTTAATGGAAACACAACTCAAGATTTGAAGATTCAAAGATGTATTGTCATGTCATATGCTACGGTGTAGTTATGCAATTCATGAAAAAAGTAGGTCACTTGTTCCTCACCAGCGCAATTACAAGACATACATTTTTATAAAAATAAAATAAAATAGTCCAAAGAATAAAAATGTATTAATTCATCTTGGTTAAATTGACATGAATGTTAATAATCTAAATTATGAATTTCTAAATATAGTCACTATTTAGATAACTCACTTGGCAATTTGGAGTTTGAGCAAAACACTTCTGGCTGAGCAGCTGATCTTTAACACGTCTTCATCTCTTTTTATGTCTTTTAGATGTTTTGAGTGTGCATGTGCTTTATACATAAGTTTGACTTTACCATTGAAGGAATTTGAATTATATTTGAGACAATATGCTTTATTAAGATGGTAAACGTGATGCTTACCATTAGCACGTTAGCATGCCGACATTACCATCTAGCTTGTGCTGGGCAGCCTCACACAGGCACTACTGTATAATGTCTACAGACTCTTAGTATTGTTACTTTTTTTCCAGCTGTTTAATGAGTTTCTACACAATTGGAATATAGAGAAAAAATATACAATCACAAAACTAAGTCGCTAGATGTGATGTCTTAGTTTGAGTTCTCACACCAACTTAATGACAGGAAGACGATGTTGTGTCGCCTTGAATGTGTGAGAAAAGTGATCACACTTTACTGTGGTTTTGTTGATGTCCCAAAAGGGAACCACAGGTTTACTTCTCTGTTTCACGTTTAAACGTAGCAGTTACAACTTGTCAGTAACTTGTTTTCATAGAGCACAAAACCCCAACTCAATATCCTCTTAATATTATAAATTAACAAGACTTTTCAAAAGTCAAAGTTGTTGCTACTATTCTATTCTTAAATCCTACTAAAGTTATTCACCTTAAATCCCACGCTCTGACATTTGCAGAAAAGCTAGTAAATGTTTTTGCTGAACATATTTTAACCATACAATTTGAATTTGAACCTCATCTCTTTCCATCAAAGATAAACTTCAGTGGCAGCTCTTACCAATTTCATACAAACATTGAATGCAAGTAGGCGCATTTCAACCCAGTCTCACGGCATTTCGTGTTATAGTCACGATATTTAATCTATTGATTCGTGTCACACAGAACGATTTTAAAAGCAATGCATTTCTATTGGTAGTATGTTTCGTGCCTGCAACACGTCTTTTTGTCCGGTCGGGTCTTGGAAGACCGGAAGCTGTGCGGTTCATAAAATCGTTTTCTCACTCAATATCAAGCCACAATTATTGTTTTTATTTTAAATCGTATAATGTCGGACTTTTTTTGCCGTCAATGAGGAAAATAAATGGGGCTCAGAGCCTCAGAATACTGAAATATGTATTTTTTAAATCTTTTTTTCCTTCTAATTTGTTATTCTTTTCTAAATAACACACTGTTATTTACTCAACAATAACACACAATTATCCTTGTTTTTATTAATTTGTTCAATTCTATAATCTCTGGCTTTTTTGGCGTCCGTCAGGAACTGAATTTCAAAATAAAATAACCGGAAACAGACGTAGGCGATACACACCCACTGAACTGATTGCCCAAGATCCTCAGCTATGGTTTAAGCTCGGTGATTGGATGTTTTAGCCACAATGCACGTTGGTATATGGTGTTTATACGATATGAAATCCAAAAAACATAAACAAATAAAAAAAATAATACTTTAATCCGAGTGTGCTTGCTTTTCTCTTTGAAAGTCATCACATAACGGCATTGTAATACACGGTTTGGCTGCTTTAAATATTACACATCTGCCGTAGTTCTCTATTTATAGAGCCCTGATTAGCAGACCTTTGGAAAAACTGGAAGAACTGCCACCGAAACTGAATATGTGACGTGGATCATAAATATATCAGCAATTAAACAACATCTTCAATTTCTCTTCACACAATACGTCTCCTTGCAGTATCAACATTAATTCGGCTGACTTTTATATTTGATCCGATTGGTAGATAGGTTATATTTACCCCATAACGGTGCACAGCTGATAGAAAAGGACTTGTAGTTTTTAAAGATATTACTGATTTTTTTGAATATAAGAATGTCAATACTGGATTGAGAGAATAGTCAGGGGTTTTGGTTGATGGGTGATGGGGGACACATCTATGGAATCACAATTTCATTAGCTTACCATTAAATGACGGATATACCTTTCTGTCTATGTTTTACAAATCAGATATTAATGTGTAGAAGTAAAACATGTTAAATAGTATAGCAATATCCTGTAAAATTATGTGAAAACATGAATAAAACTACACATCTTCAGATGTTATACATAAGTGTCCTACACTATAATACAAAGTTATTATGGCATTGTATGCTCTGTGTACCTTGTGTGCACCGCCATAGTGGTTAAAGCGCGTTATTGAATTATTTTTTTAATATCTTATATTTGATGAAAAAAATATTAAGAGTACATACTTTCATAGGGGGAAAGTAGAAGGTCAATGATAGAAATATAGAATATAAAAAATCAAGAACATATTGTAAGTGATCTCTACAATAAAACAGTTTAGTGCCGGATGTACAAAGATATTAATAGGAGGATGTGCAAAACAGAAAAAGTAATTAACCTTTATTTAAAATGTAAAGAATACTTTAGGTTAAGGCAGGGGTGCCCAACCTTTTTTGAACCAAGAGCTACTTTTAAAGTTGCCAGTCTGCCGAGATCTACCAGTCCAAATAGTGAGGCGTTGCCATTACTGACAGCCTACTACCAGGTAAATACACACTTCTACTTGTATAAAACTGACCTTTGTACGATTAATACTTCATAAAATACTGCAGATCCTTTATCTTACCTCTTTCTAATCTACACACATACAAGTATTTAACTGAAGTTACACAACAGTGTTGTTGATACATAGTTGGAGTTTATTCACACGTCACATACTACAGTGGGTAATGTATTCAAGAAACATTGAACAGTGCTGCCACATATGACACAGGGAAAAAAGAAAATACTCTGAACCCTTTCTTTGCCATTATATAAAAATAGTGTTGCTACAAAAGTATAAATTAGGCTTACTAATAAGACAACTCAGATCTGAAGCTACACAGGAATCTGCTGCCAAAGTGCAATAAAAAAGACAAAATGAATAGAATCAAACCCTTTTTTGTAGCATTTTAGTAGAGTATAAAAAGAAATGCCTTTAAAATAGGATGCAAGCAAAACTAGTTTCTTAACCTGAATTGATAATAGACTATAATCAATTTAAACAGAACAGATCTGAATGTTTGCATTCTTATACCATTTTGTACAATAATTATAATGAATAAGTTCAAACAAACTCAAACTTACAGCTGATTAATAACGGTATCTAACTTGAGTTTTTATTATATCAAAAACCTGTTGAAATGCTACTGTTATTTTTACTGTCCCCCAAAAGCGTGTTGGCAGCCTCCAGGAATTATTTCACAACTTCGCCGTCTTTGAAAGACTTCATGTGTTTCGCAAGAACGTGACTGATACGATAAGATGCTATGGTAGCAGCCTTGCTCTTGTTGTTGGGCCTGGTGAAAATGGACTGCTGTGCATTTAGCTGTCCTTTCAGGTCCCTCACCTTTTGGGAGCGTAGGGCAGAATTAGGAGGGAATTCCGTCTCGCAGCGTTTGTGTACTGTTTTGAAATGCCGCTCCTAAATAACCCTTCTTCGATAAAGCCACGCTCGCATTGCAGATGAGACAGATGGACTTTGAATTGGAATAGATACAAAAATAATCATCCTCCCACTCGGAGTGAAAATTATATATTTTGGGCTTTTTTGCTTCTGCCGTAATTGCGGTCTTGTGTGTGTGCGGACTGTCACTCCTGTTGACACGGACAACGTCAGCGAAATAGTGCCCACTGCCCACCAGCCACGCCCCGACACATGGGGTCACGCCGGCCAATCACAAAGCTTTGATGCATTCAAGTGCATTATTCTGGCACAGGAAGATTATTTTACAGGACATTAACGATAAAACAGAATGTTGTTGTTATATTTTTAGACACATCTCGTGATCGACTGGGAATCTCCCCGCGATCGACCGGTCGATCGCAAGCTTACGAAAATGTTCTTATTATGATAACATATACTATTATTAATGGAAAATCATTTGTCAATAATGACAATATGCCCGCTGTATTCATAAATCGTGATTTATTACAACTTTCCATGCTCGCTTCAGATGTTACACGACCGCTCCGAACAAAACAGCTTTCGCCGGTTAGTGACGTCACGCACGTCACGGTACGTCACGAGTAGAACACTTGTTGAATAATACACTAACTATATGATTTCGGACTCTGGCTCGGATATTTAGACAGAATTGAGTGACAGTGAATCGTCAATACTCGGTGCACTTTCAAGAAGAGGAGAATTGTATTGAAGAGGATGCCGGTGTGGTGGAATCAGATCATGCGGGCGAGTCTAACGTGGTGGAACCAGGGGCGGATCTACAGGGGGGGCAAGGGGGGCAGCTGCCCCCCACTATAGAGCCTTGCCCCCCCCAGCTGCCCCCCTAACTTTTGTTTCCCTAAAACTGTACTAAAACCAACCTACACTATTTCCACAAGCTTCTCAAGCAACAAAACAAGCATTACATTAGTTAAAAGTGAATCATTTTAAATATAATTTTAGGCCCGTTAAAAACGCAGCTACGGCCCTGCATTAAACTGCAGAGCGGCGTTCACACAGACCGCGGCTCACACCGCTGCAGAGAGGGAGCGAGCTGTCCCAGCACCTATATGGATCAGCTTCCCCTGGGAGCATTTCCCTTTCCACTAGTTTTGTTTTTACTAAGGACGAGAGCTTGAAACTAAATATTAATAAAACGCTGCCGTTTGAATCGAGAGCGTTTAACAGACGGGCGCTGTTTGGGGCGTTACGTTACAAAATACTACGCAGACAGCGCTAGCTGGGAGATCGATCACTTTGCTAAACTACGCGGTAGCCTACTATTAAATCCACGTAAACTACACATCACAGCCATGAGGCCAGATCAATGAAACCAGGATACATCCTTTACTGTAAAAACTGGATCCAAACACAGCTGCCTGTGTGCGCTTGATCAATACTTTCTGATGTTATATGATATGCTACATATTAGCTAGGCTACATGGCCCTAACACCTAAAGTTATACAAGCATTTGTACCAGTGCTTTGCACAAGTAGACTCTTGCAGGCCAGAGTATAGGAGTGATTCAACAACAACACAAAGACATATGAGAAGTGATCAGGACGAACAGAAAGAGGAAAAGGAAAAGAGAGTTCACTGAAGAGACCAGGAAAGTCAGAGCAGGAGGAAGAGGAGGAGATGAAGAGACCAGGAGGGTCAGAGCACGAGGAGGAGATGAAGACATTAGTGAAGAAGAAGAAATGTATGTGAGGAATAAAGATGAAGTATCAGAAAGAGGGCCAGAGGCAGGGATCAGGAGGCAGATGAAACTCCAGCTGGACCACATGGTATGTTCTTATTCTCCTTACATATTCCATTACAGCAGCACAATCTAGCAGCTCTTAGTATTGACAAATATTGATTGAAATGTGTTGCTGCACAGGTCACCTTCAGCTCTCTGAAGAGATGGGTGATGTCATTTGTGTACTTAATTATAAATTGAAATGTTGAGTTTGTCAATCTTAATCTGAAAATACAAAAACTGAAATATAGGTAAGAGAAGAAACTGACACTTTTGTGATGTAATTCCCTCAATGCAGATCACACATGGACTGATCCATTATTTTAATAGGAGGGTAAATGGTATGGCGTGACGGGGTTGAAACAAACTGAGGGACAATATTGCAATTTCATAGATAATTCAAGTATTTTTTCAGAATGTCTTTTTGATCAGTTAAAGTTGACAAGCATATGATTATATTAGCAGCAACATTTTGGGATAATTGGCCATTTTGATTGGTTTGATATTAAATTAATATGTAATAATGCTGAGTGAGGACATGCAAATATGTCTGTCTAATACTAAGAAAACCAATTTTTTTCAAACTAAATATATATTTAGTTTTACATTGTAATGCAAAAAAACCTGTTTCATTAATTCATTGCTTTAAAATACATTTTGTAGTTTCCTTTCATTTAAAATGGTTGAGGTAAGCTTGGGGGACTCAAAGAGCACCCGATTGTTTGTCTGAACACCTTGTTTCTCTTGTGCATTAAGAACACTTGTGTTAGGGCATGAATTAACAATAAATAGGTTATATACAGTATAACATACCACGTACTGTCCGCCCTCCCATGCCACCCTGGCATGACCTCTTGCCCCCCCTTTGCCCCCCCATGTAAAATGTTCTAGAACCGCCACTGGGTGGAACCATACCAGTTTGAGCCACAGTATTCACGTAGCGGTAGAGATACAGACGGGAACGAACATGGGGATGGTGATCCTGGATTTGGCGGAGATCCGGTGCGGCAACAGAACACAGACTGGTATATATTTGACTTTAATTCATAGAGATTCTCAATAAATAGTAAATCAATAATAATACATCGTAATGTAGCAGGCACACTTAGCTCAGGCAACAGAACACAGACTAATATAGATTTGTCTATAATTCATAGAGATTCTCAATAAATAGTAAATAAATAATAATAACTCTGCTGAAAAAAACAGCTTAGATCAATTTAGCTGGTCAGGCTGGTGTAAATTGACCAGCCAGTCGATATTAGG